CCTGGCGGGCAGCAGCACCACTGAGCTCCAGTACCGCAGGTGCATTCAGGAATTCATTGGTCTCCACCTGGAAGAGAGCTAGGGCCGGGCCGGCCGGGCAGCCGTGGGACCACTGCCCGCCCGGCCCGGACTTCCTGCATGCCCCTGAAGACCCTGGCCCTAGCTCAGCCACGGCCCTATGCGTGTGGACCGTGGGTCCGTCCTGACAGATCCGGTGTCCAGGCGCTCCTGGAGCCCACCTGCCTGCTCGTTCTCCCTCTGGTGCCTGGACCTCGGGATGGGAAGGGCACTCCAGCACTGAGTATTTTGAAGCCCCAAGTTTTGGGGGGTGCTGCATCATCTGGTGTCCCTCACCCTACCTGAGGACCCTTTGGCCTCAGGTGGCCCCTTCTCTGGGGGCCCGGGTTGCTCACAAGCCACTTTTTTGTGGGGGGGTACTGGGGATTGAACTCGGGTCCTTGCGCTTGCAAGGCAGGCCACCGAACCGCTGAGCTAAATCTCTGGCCCCACAATCCACTCTTGAATCCCATGTCACCTTGTGCCCCTCTGCCTTCAGGGCCTATGTCACCTGGTGCCCCCACCTTTACTGCCCCAGAACACTGACCCACTAGCTGGGTCCTCTTATACCCCCAGAGCCCCTCCTGTGGCCTAGGGCTGGTGGCTGGCTGCCAGTGCCTTCCCAGGCAGGAGTGCGGCCCATCCAGGGAACCAAGCCAAGTACCTCACTTAGTGACTCAGCATCCAGGCTGGGCTTTGCGGGTGCTGGGTGGATGGGGCTCTGGTCTGGGGCCACTGCCCTGGTTGGACGCGGGCGTCCCACGGCCATGTGACTGGCCATGCCAGCCCCCAGTGCCAGACCTGTCCCTGCCTCTTCTAGAGGAAAATCTCTGGCACTAGGCCCAGAGCCTGTGCATAAAGCGACTGGCCCTTCCTACCCTATGCCTGATGTTCTTTGTTACCCACTGAGTGGATTTTCTACAATGACCTCGTTCTTGTCTGTGTCTTTTTTCTGTGGACTCTTGAGGACCATCCTGAACCTGGCTCTGCCTGCCACTGGGGGGAGGCTCCATACCTTTTCCCCTGCCTCCTGGCTGGCCTTGCTGTTCAGGCTGGGCCCTCTAATGGAGGGGGCTGGGACCCCTCCAGGGGTCTGTCCCTCACTTGTGGGTCTGCCAATGCCTTCAAATTCCCTTTTTCTGAAGGAGCCAGGATGGAGGCTGGGTCTCCAAAACTATGGGCTCTTGGTCAGGCCCAGGCCAGTTGGCTGGTCACTATGCAAAATGCTGCCTGGGGAGGCTCCGTGGGTGTAAGGTGGGCACTGGACTGGGCCCCTGACTCCCCTGCCTGCTGGCTGTGACCCTAAAAAGCAGAATTAGTTTCTTCCTCCTTGCTTGAGCTCTGCCCACTGCCTACCATGCCATCCTCTGGCTGGCAGGACCCCATACCCCTACTCTGATCACTCCTGGTTAATAAACCTCTGAGGCTTGCACCCACTGCCTGCTTATTGACTCACCCGACTCACTCTGCTCCGTTTCAGCTGGGGAGGTCTTCGACCGCTGCCACCTCTAGGGGGGCAGCCCTAAGAGGGCTACCAGGCTACCACTAGTGTCCCTTCCTCAAAAGGACAACTCGGGCCAGGGATTTAGCTCAGTTTTTCTGCCACTTGACTTGCAAATGCAAGGCCCCAAGTTCAATCCCTGGTACCAAAAAAATAAAGACAACTCAGACAAGTTGCCAAGGGCCAGAGGGGGTATCTAGGGCTTCTATGACAAAATCTGACTCCTGACACTACCACCCGCAATTCCCTGGCCCCTCTACCTTTCTCGAGGTGAGTCTATGATCCCTGATGGGAATGGGCATGGGTGGAATACCCAGCCAGCAAGGATGGTCTGGGACTGGTGTTGCAGGCCTGCTCCTAGTGTGCCCCTGACCCTGCAGTGTGCCTGAGTGAAGCTCAGCCCATACAGTTGACTGGGGAGCCCCACACACGCGGTTGTCACCAGGTGTAATTACCAGTTTCATTACAGAGCAGCCTAGAGTCACTGGATGAGCTGGCATTGCCACACATTCCCTCTCACCTGCCCAGAGAATGAGACAGGCTCTACCTGACACTCATACCTACACGCAGGTGTAGACACAGAGCCGAGTCCCTTGGAAACACACATAGAGACACCAATTGGACACACCAGCAGGGGGTTGCAAAGGCTCCAGGTTCACATGTGGAATACAGATGTACAGAGAGGTGGGGATAGCCTCCCTCCCTGCCCTGAGCCTCCTGGAAACTGGAGAGTTCACCCCCAGGCAGGGTGGGCAAAGAGAGGCCCTGGAGTGTTGGGTGCGCCTGGTGTTGACCTGCCTGCTGGCCAAGTCATGCTACTTCCTCAGCTGTTGGGTGGCCTGGGAAGACCCTGTGGCAGCTGGTCTAGCCTACCCTGGGTAGCCAGGGGCATCCCCTGTTGCCACAGTTCCCAATGCCAGGCCTAGGGACCAGATGTCCTGGCAAAGCTGTCGGGGGTATGGAGTCAGGGGGCTGGAGCTCAGCCTAACTGTTCCACCAATACCCTCTCCAGAGCCCCTACAGGGACTCTGACTTCAGGCCTATAGTCTCTGGCCCCAGGTGACGTGCAGGCTGGGTGACGAAGCAGAGCTGGCTCCAGACTGGGATGCTTGTGCCCCACAGAGCCAGCGGAAGCCCAGCAGCAGGGTGAGAGCTGTGGCATCCAGCAGTAGTTCCAGCAGCTCTATGATGGAGAGGACAGAGGAGCCAAACCAGAGGCTCCAGAGGCTCCCCATGGCAGACAGCAGCTGTGGCACCTGGGGTGGGTGGATGGTGGGCAGTTAGCTGTGGCCTTTTCACCTGCACATGTCTGGGCAACTCCCACCCCAGGCCCTGGGCCCCAGTCCTCACTGAGTACACTGGTGCCTCATCCACCATTCGATAGTTGAGTTCCTGGTAGAAGATGTTCACCTTGGCCACGTGGCTCCGGGAACGCCCTGGAGAGGGGGGCGCCCACCTGCGCCCTGGGTTTAGGCTTGGACTCTGGGTCTGCTCCCCCAGCACAGCAAAGATCCAGTCCTGTGCAGAAAAGAAGGTTGAGTGACTGTGGCTCCCTCCCCAGTAGCTGCTACCCCACCTCACCCCACGCCCCTTGGCACTCACAGCTGACTTGGCCGAAGGCCACCGGGCAGTTGTGGCGGACAGCTTGTACGAAGTCTCCCTGCAAGGGACAGGCCTGTGGTCAGAGCCTGCAGCACACCTGGGCAGTGACCTCAGGCTGGAGCCATTGCCCCCTCACCTGCAGGGCCTGGGGCAGCGCGAGTCGCAGGACAGCCGGTGGGCTTCCAGGGCCTGAAGCAGACGGTAGAAGCAGTGACCTGGGCAGGGTACAGCGATGTCACCAGCGAACGGATAGAGGGACCGACCCTCCCCGACCCTCTACCCCCAGGAGGGCGGGGCTCACCCCAGGCCGGATGCCGGGCGCGGCTGCAGTACTGAGCTCCTGCCGGCAGGGGGTGCAGAAAGTAGCCGCAGGAGCAGTTCTCCAGCATCAGCTGCTGAAAACAGGACACTAGGCAGGCCTAGGGGACAGCGGGACGCGAGTGGGGGCTGCCTGAGCACCCCAGCCTCGCGCACACGCGCCCTGTCCGCCCCGAGACTCACCTGCCGGGTGTAGGAATTGTAGAGTAGCCGCACATCCACGCCCTCTGCGCCGTTGGTGCAGCGGCCGTACGGGCTCCCCAGCCGCCGCACCTCGTCCTTGCAGAGCGGAGATTGAGAGCACG